GGGGGGGGTTCATCCTCTTCTCCCTCCCCACTTTATTTTCATGGCTGTGCTGCTTTTGGATATTTCTCCTGATTTCTACAAGTAAAATTGGCACCAACTTCAAGGTCCAACTCTACCTCGTCGATCCTTGCCTGGGGGGAGGCGGGTCTGGAAAGTGGATGGGAAAAATAGGAAGACACAGTTTTGGGTTTGGGGTGCCTCCCTCCCCAGCTCTGATATCCCCCAAAGCACAGCAGCAGACAGGGGTTTCCTGTCTCTTCTCCAGCTTTGTGATGTTTTGGGGCTCTGGAGCCAGGAGAGTGGAGACACATCCCGAGCTGCTGAGCTCCCTGCTTTATGGGGGGGCTCTTTCCATCTTTCCCTGGCAATTAATCCCTAACAGATTAATCCCTGATGAGGTAACTACGGAGACCAGCTGGATTCCAAATTGTTCCTGCCTCAGCCCCTGAGCCTGACAGGTCCAGGAGGTGAAATAGGGTGGGGGGACAGGTCCTGGCTGTGCCCTCTCCCTGCCCCCAGCTGCAGGTCCCACATACCCTTTAACATCCCTCGCTCAGATTTGGGGTTCAGAGGGGTTTGTCCTCCACTGGACCTCTGCAGAGGCAGGAGGTGAAGATGATGTTTTCCTGCTTGTGGAGTTTGAACGGAGGGAGAACCACAGCCGGGTATTTCTAGGGGCTTGTTTTTCATTCCTGGGGATGGAGGGAGAGAGATGCTCCCCTCAAATCCATGATGTGCTGCGCTGTCCCCATCTCACCGGGATGCTCTGGGCAGCTCTGTCTTTGCCCAGCAGTGACATGGGGCAGGGGATGCTGTGGGGAGCTGGTCCCACTCCCAGGGAGCCCTTGGGCTCGGGTGCCCATCCTGGGCTGAAGCAAACGGGTGTGCAGCTCTGGGCTCTGCTCCTCCTCTAGCCCATCCCCAGGGACTTCTCTTTCCACTCCCAGGGCTCGCTGCTTTTCCCCAGGGCCACCCATTTTTGCAGTGCACCCAGGGCTCCTCTCCCCAGCTGGTGTGGAAGCTCGGAGCAGAGAGCCTGGCAGATGAATTCCCCCGGTGAGGAAGCAGCCCCAAAGATGGGGCATTCGGTGCTGGGATATCCTGCCTGCTGCCTGTCCCAGCACGGGGCTGCTGCCTATCCTGGCCTCCTAGTTGCTCCTGACTCCCTGTTTTTTCCATGTGCCCATCCCACTAAACCAGCAGCTTGTCTATATGGGAGCTGGGGATGCTCCTCCTGGCAGCTCAAGGGATGTTGAGGTGACATAACCATCACCCCAGTGCCATCAAGGACCCCACTGTGAGACGAAGGACTGTGCTGGGCTCTGTGTCCCCCTCTGCTTTGTGATCTCTGAGCTTTGACCTTGGCAGAGGTCAACATGGAGCTGGGTCCCAGGTGATGGCGAGGCTCTCTTGAGTTGAAGGAAGAGCAGCTCTGGGGGGTTTCCCTTTGCTCTGGACACATCTTTTCCTCTTAGAAAGAGGATTTCCCTGTTTACTCCTTGGCTGGAGGGTGCGTTGGTCCCGTTTTGCTCTGCAGGGCTTTACTCCCGCGTGTAGGAAATAACCCTCTGCTCCCGTGCAGCAGAACCATCACCTTATCTGATGGTGTACTGGGATGAGCGAGTCTCTCTGGTTTGCAGCCAGTGGATTTTCTAGCTTTGCCCGGATTGTTTTGACCCATAGAAAGTTGCTGGAGGGTGATGGAAACAGCCACGTCCCTTTGATCTTTAATCTCGAGAGGCAGCATGTGGAGATTACGTGTCCCGCCGTGCGGTCCGGAGCTGCACGCTGGGAGCTGTAGTCTCCGTGTCCTGTCGGGAAGGACTCATCAACTGCTGTTTCTTTGCTGCTCAGACCGTTGGTCTCAGGAGGACATGCTGACTCTGCTGGAGTGCATGAAGAATAACCTGCCCTCCAACGACGGGAGCAAGTTCAAAACTACCGAGTCCCACCTGGATTGGGAGAAAGTGGCTTTTAAGGATTTCTCGGGGGAGATGTGCAAGATGAAGTGGATGGAGATCTCTAACGAGGTAACCCACAGCTGCACGGGGCTCGGGGGGGTCTCTGTGAGGGGGTCCTGGTGACTTCCTAGGGCTGTTTGAATCACTCAAGTTCAGCACCCTGAGTCCTCAGCCCTTAGTGCTGACACCATCAGCATTGTGAACCCCTCAGAGGCGCTGGGATGGGTCGTTTGCACGGGTTGCAGGGTTACAAAACCCTGGGGGTTTACACCCAGGTGCTGAGTGGGGATTTACCCTGCCTCACCCGCAGCCTGTTCACCTTTGTGACCCTTCATTACTCCACAGGTGAGGAAGTTTCGGACCCTCACAGAGCTCATTATGGATGCTGAAGAGCACGTGAAGAATCCTTACAAGGGCAAAAAGCTCAAGGTATCGGGCAGGAATTTGAATTAATCCCTAAAAAGTTAATTAATCCTTCCTCCTTCCCCAAGATGGGGGCTGTCAGCCATGTGGCACCCCAGACCTCTGCTGCCAGAGCCCCTGCAGGCACCTCACTGCCCGTAATCCCCGCGGCCGGCTGCCCAAGGCTCTGGAGGCCACGGGCTCTGGGCTCTGGCCAAGTCCAGGGTACATTTAATATGTCCGGCTGTATTACTGGCAGCCTGCATCCAAGTTTAGCACTGGGGGGGGTGGGGGAAGCCACCATCCTATTCCTGGCTTGCTGGGTCAGGTGGGGTGCTGCTTTCGGCTGATGCTGTGCCACCAGCCGTCCCCAGGAGGTGGGTCCTGTCCCCTTCTCCTGCCTCAGTTTCCCCTCTGGCAGCACAACCGCTCTGTGCCAATGGCTCTGGATGGCTGGAGGTTGCTCCCGAGATACCAGCCCTGGGATATTGTAGTTCCTGGGGAAGGGAGCCCTTCTTCCTAGCGTTGTCCCCAAACCTTGCCTGCAAAGCCGGGGTGTTCCCATGTCAGGGAGCTGGATCACCAGTGGGGCTGGATGGAGACAGGTCTCCCCCAGTACCAGGGGAGCTGGTGGGGTTTGGCTGTGACCTCCACAATGCTGCTGGCTCTGTACTCAGTATGTGCCACTCTGCTGTCTCCCCAGAAACACCCCGACTTCCCCAAGAAGCCCCTGACTCCTTATTTCCGCTTCTTCATGGAGAAGCGAGCCAAATATGCCAAGCTTCACCCCGAAATGAGCAACCTGGATCTCACCAAGATCCTGTCCAAGAAATACAAGGAGCTTCCCGAGAAGAAAAAGGTACAGGGGGTGGGAATCAGCAAACCCTTTCCCACTTGTGTGCCTCTGCATGCTAGGCTCTGCCTGCCCAGTGCTCCCAGTAAAACCAGCAGAGCCCAGCCTCTCTACCTGGTGAGGGTTTAATCCAGCTCTCAATGGGAGAAACCCAGGTGCTTGTTTAGTCCTGTCAGACCAGTAAGACTCCCTTTCCTTTTCCTGTCCTGGTTCCCAGGACCTGTGGGGTGGAGGCTGGCTGGGTCTGTCCGTTGGTCCATCTCTTCCAGACGGACCTGGATGGTGACTTTGCTGTTGGGTGGATCTGTGTTTAATGCTGGGATTAAATCACCCCCCTCGCTGGGGGTGCCCTGTCCGAGTGAGGGATGGAGGAGCAAGCTCTGCTCCGAGCCCTGGGAGATGCTGGGAGGAGAGCTGCCCATCTCACCTCCAGCTCTGGAGATGGCCTTGGGCTTGGCCAGAGCCTGGGCAAGTGTTTTGGGTGCCCCGACTCTCAGTCTGGATGGATTTGCTGCTGCCTGGAAAGGTCCAGGGCACAAAGCCCTACTGTGCCCTCTTGTCCAGGGCTGCTCGGGTGCAGGGAGAGGGGATAGATCCTGCCCCTGAATCCCTGGGCAGGCTGGAAACCTTCAGCTGGGAGCTGCAGGACCACTCTGATGAGCTGGGGAGCCCTTGAGTCCCTTTGGGGGGGTGGGGGGGTGCCCACTCAACAGGGACGTATCCACCTGCCCATTCCCTGGTACTGACATCCCTCTCCACCTCCCTGGTGGCTTTGTGTCCCAAAGATGAAATACATCCAGGACTTCCAGCGAGAGAAGCAGGAGTTTGAGAGGAACCTGGCGAGGTTCAGGTGAGCAGGCAGCCCCCCCCACCTTTCCCCAGACCCCTCCCAGGCAGACCCAGTCTCCCCTCCTGCATGTAGCTCATGGAGGAAGCCCTGATGGGCACTGCAGGCTGAAGGTGGGATGTTGGGGAAAAAAAAAAGAGCAAAGAAAAGGTGTCTGAGAGCAGCTCTCCAGCTGGGAAACTCATCGAGGGAAGAGAACGGAGGGCCAGCCATGTGCTGGGGGTTAGGATCTGCAAGGCGAGGACAGGAGCCCTGCCCTGGCACTGTTCAAAGCTGAAGTGACCACCCCGTTCCCCCCAGACCACCCTGTTGCCCCCAGACCATCCCTTTGAACGTGGTCACTGTCTCCCAGGTGGATCCTGGCATTCCCAGTGACCTGCTGCTGCTCCAGGGATGCAGCCCAGCCTGGGATGTTATAGGGGATGCTTATAGCTGATGCTCCCCCAGGAGGGACAGACTCAAATCTCCCCTAAAACCCTCCTGCTCTTTTCGGGGACCCCCCCTGGTATCTCAGCCTGTGGAGGCTCAGCCCTGCAGTGAAGGTTACCCCTTAGCTGGGGGGGCTTAGGGGGTGTTCTCCTCCCACCTGCATCCTCCGTAACGCTCTCCCTTCCCTGCTGGGTAAAGGGAAGATCACCCGGATCTCATCCAGAACGCCAAGAAATCCGACATCCCTGAAAAACCCAAGACCCCTCAGCAGCTGTGGTACAACCATGAGAAGAAGATCTACTTGAAAGTGCGTCCAGATGTGAGTACGGTGGGTGGGAGTGAGTGTGAGTGTGAGTGTTGAGGGGTGCTGTACCCCCGCGGCTGGGGGGAGAGGAGGGGAAAACGAGAGAAGCATTTTAGGGGGAGGGGACGGGATGGAAGACACCGCTAGAAGCTCCCAGCAATCTGGATGGAGGTAAGAAGGGGCTCTGCACATCTGGAAGAGACTTGGGGATACAAACCCCACTTTTTGCCTTCAGTTGAAGAGGTGACCACAGCCTGAGTTCAGGGCAGGAAAGGTTTCCAGCACATCCACCCACCTCTGGCCATGCCCCACACTTGCACACTTTGCCCCCCACTTGCACACCCCCCCTTCCCCGGCCACGAGCTCGGCTCGCAGCCACCCCACGGCCCCGAGCCGGGTGCCGCTGGGACAGGACAGCGAATCTCGCTATTTTTGCCCCCTTTTTTTTTCCCCCCCTCTATTCTTTTTTTTGAATTTTACCCCTCTGCCCTCACCTCTGGCTTTGGGTTTTCAGGCCACCACGAAGGAGGTGAAAGAGTCGCTGGGCAAGCAGTGGTCTCAACTCTCGGATAAAAAGAGGCTGAAATGGATTCATAAGGCCCTGGAACAGCGGAAGGAGTACGAGGTAGGGAGCAGCCTCACCCGTTCCCCTCCACACTCGTCCCTACGTTCACTCTGAACCACTCTGCCTCCCGGCTGCAGCCACCGGCAGGTAGCCAGCCTCACCTGATAGCCAGCGTGGGGGTTCAGCCAGGTCCCTGCAGGTCCCTAGTGAGTCTGAGCCACTCTGCCTCCTCCAGCGACGTTTGGGGAAGGGAGAAATATCCCTGGGGAGATGATTAGGGCGATGGTTGGCTTCTCTTTCCTCCTCCTCCGGCCCCCAGCCAGGCGGGGATCAGAGCCCTTCTCCTGACTGCTCTCCATCCTTTGCAGGAGATCATGCGTGACTACATCCAGAAGCACCCCGAGCTGAACATCAGCGAGGAGGGCATCACCCGCTCCACCCTCACCAAGGCTGAGCGCCAGCTCAAGGACAAGTTTGATGGACGACCCACAAAGCCACCTCCGTGAGTCCTGTCCCTCTCTGGGTGTCAGGGATGTGTCCCTCTCTGAACTGTCGCTTCAGGCTCTTGGCCAGCTCAGGCACACGCTGGTTCTAACGAGGAAACTGGGGCTCTGACTGGCTTTGAGAGCCCCAGTCGTTTTGGGGACCGTGGGCACAGGCTGTCGATGACCCCATTAAGCCAGTCCTTAAATATACATTAAATATGCATTAAATATACATTAAATATACATTTACAGAGAATCTGAGCGAGGTTTATGGTGATGCTGCGCGCTTCAGGATAGGGGATAATCCAACCCTTAGCTTCCTTAAAATGCAAACACCTCTGGCACAGCATTTCACTGCCTGCTGTGACCCAGATGGTAGCTGGGGGGCTTTGGGGGGCTCTTAGCACCCTGCAGAGGGGACATGAGGGGGACAGGTTGTCCCTAATGCTGGGTTGCTCCATCGGTTGCAGGAATAGCTACTCCCTGTACTGTGCAGAGCTGATGGCCAACATGAAAGATGTGCCCAGCACGGAGCGGATGGTGCTGTGCAGCCAGCAGTGGAAGCTGCTCTCCCAGAAGGAAAAAGACGCGTACCACAAAAAGTGTGACCAGGTGAGGGGCTGAGGATGGACAGATGGGTGGACAGGCAGGTGGACATCAGTGCTATGGGCAGGGAGGAGTAGGATGGGAGAGCTTGGGCTGCAAATCTTGCTAGAAATGAGCTCCTCACGCTTCCTCAGTGCCTGTTCATGTTGTCTGGACCACCAATTCCCCTTGAGGTCCTTGGTCACTTCCCTTGGTCCTCTCCTCTCTCTAGTCCATGTGTGTGGGACAAGCAGATGGTCTGGGTGGAGGATGCTGTTACCAAAGAGGCTGAGGCTGGGTTGGGGACTGCACGAGGCAGGGATGGGGCAGGGGATCTCTGTGTAACCACACGTCTCCATCTCCTTCCAGAAAAAGAAAGACTACGAGATTGAGCTCCTCCGCTTCCTGGAGGTGAGTGATGTGAGGCTGCCTCAACCATCGGGTACCAGAGACCCCGAATGCGGGGAGGGAGCCCTGGCCAGGGGCTGAGATAGGTTAAACACAGGCTGCACTGATGTTCCCCTGCTTCTGCTCCCCCCAAAACATGGCTGGACCCAGCCATGGGTGCTGTGCAGACCTGTTGGCCCTTAGTCTTGACCCTTCCCCAGCTGCTTTAATGCCTGACCCACTGTCTTCCAGTTGGGCAGTGGGAGGTGGGGACAGACCCTGCCCCAGCCAGGCGAGGAACCTGGGGTGAGCAGAGGGCTGGTGCTGGAGGAGGGGTTGCTGTCGGTGGCTGTGGCTGTGCGGGTGGCAGCGAGTCTCTCGCTTCCTTCCTCCCCTCGGCCGGGGCGTAGGCGAGAGGAGCCGCACCGGGGCCGTCCCAGCGCCGCGCTCGGCCCCCGGCCGGACGTGA